TGTTCAAGATTCAACTCTGATAATTAGTGATAGTTTCCTTCAATCAATCAAATCATTTTAATATGTCCGAGTCATCTTGACATTTTCTGAATTGCCCATTTTCACTAAACTCAACCTGCATGAAAAACAAAGTTATGAGTAAAAACTGCTGGATTCAAGGTCTTACCAGAGCCTGTCCTTCCCACAATGCCCAGCTTCTCTCCAGCTCGGATGAAGAAATCGAGTCCGTTCAGGACAATGGGTGTATTTTCTCGGTACCTCATCTTATAGTCCTGGAAGGTGATGGTTCCGCTCTTCGGCCAATCCTCTGGGACTTGGGCCTCCTTTATTTGCCTGGGGGCCTCAGACTTACAACCCTGTACACAATAAAGAACTACTTTGAGGGAGGGGAAAGGAAGTGTGTCAGAAAAATGTACTTCATAGAAGAGAAACTATTAGCTTTAGAAACTGTTGTCCTTGAGTAGTTTAATGGACAGTTTCAAGAAGACTAGTAAAAGATGGATGGATTGTTCGTAGTTGTCACGCAGCCTGTGTATACAGCAGTGGTGGGCCGTCAGGGCCTGCAAGGCCTTCTCTGCTGGCCTAAACAGAATCACAAAGTTATAGCTATTTTATAATTTAATATTTTTTCTTAAATACACGTACACGTAATACATGTATTATAATTCATAAAAATATTTTTTCCATTATCTTATTTTCTCATTGCCCAGCTCCTGTCTTCCTCAGCTGCTCTGCTTCCAGTGCAGCTTGTTTTAAGTAGAGCTTTTATCCAATCAGATTTCACCTCTGTGTCTCTAGGTAAGAAGAGAGGCCCGAGGCCTGCAGACTCACAAGCGCATCCCTTTGCAGTTTAAGTGAATGGGGACGATATTGTTGATTGTCATAGTCTTCAACCAATCAGATCTTTAGTTTGACATGTTGGGCGTATTCTTTGACGTGCCAGAGCCTGCTAGCTGGCCTACAAGTACGTCATCATTACATGCAGCTCAGTTTTCAGGTGCAGCTCTGCAGTGAGGTCACATAGCCCGTTGTCTCCTACGTGAGCTCAGAAAACATTATATTTCCAACAATTTAAGCTGTGGCGCAATCATGAGTTTATTAGGAGATGTTTCAGCTGCAGGACAGCAGTGAAGGCCCAGGTATAAAATCCACGGCCCGTCACTGGTATACAGGTATGTGTATCATTATTTTTCAGACGCAGAGAAGTTTAGAGTCTGACCGTGATGTATTCCTGCAGCCGCTCCACCGAGTTGAATCTAGCCTCCACCTCCGTCGCCAGCCTCACTGTATACTGAAGCATGCCTGTCAGCTGGACAACACATCAACATCTTTAAATACACATATTGCAGTTGCTCTCAATGTATCTTTACAAAAATAAAAGGTTCATTCATTTTCTGTTCCAAATTCACCTGTATGGTGTAGGACAAGGCCAAGCCTTTCAAAGACGGACTGATGAAGTCATTACTGCTGAGCACAACGAACAGAGACACCAACAAGGTCATGGTTGAAGCCATGGAGTCCAGGCAGAAGGAGAGCCAACGTGTTCCAGAGTGAAACAATAAATAGTGGTTGGAGTTGATGTCATTCAGTGACTTGAACCTGCAATGTGATAAAGGACATGCAGGTTTGTGAACATACATACTGTACCGCCTCACCCCCAATGATCCGTAACACAGCATAAACGCAGACCAGGTTTAGAGACACTGACTGAAACATCACCTGCTACTTTTGCACTGCATCTAACGATAAAGCAAGGAAACTCTATGAGTGAGTGTCCTTTGCTTATCTGGAGAACTGTTGATTTGATCTACTTCAAACTTGGCAGTTGTATTGCTGGGGACCCAAGGGAATGCAGTGTCAAATGTGGTGCGATTTGATCAGTTGGTGGCACTACAACAAACTTTGCGTTTTGGCCCGAAACTTTAGAGCTGTAAGTGACAAAATTCCCAACGGTTTGTTTGTTGTTCTGTCATAGATTTAATGCTATTTTCTTCACTTAACTGAAAGCCAACAATGACCTCATAGGGTAAAAATCAGGTTATAATGCATTATAACAGTTAATATAATGCGATAGTGTAAGATGTATTAGAACTATGGGAATTATAATACACTGAATTAAAAATGTGCATCAAAAAAATTACATCAAGGTACATTTTAATATGTGTCCAAATTGTCACCCAGACAACGCTGCAAACAGCAATATGAGGAGCCACACAGTTGAGAATCATGTCGAGGAACTTTGCTATCTTACAGTCTTATGTGTCTGTCTCTTATGTTGTAGGCATGGATGGTGCTGAGGCCCTGCAGGGTAGAGGTGGTGAGAGAGATGCAGGGAGAACGACTGACGTTCTCCATCCTCTTCATCTGACGGATACTCCTCTGGAAGATACTGCAGATGAATCACAACTGATATATTTAGTTTGCCTTTAAAGAACTCTTGTACTGCACCTGCTTTTAAGACGTGCAACAATTTAAATGACAATTTGAATCAAAATAAATGTCATAAAATTAACTGAACGTGTAATCAGCATGTACCAGATTGTGAATTGCTACGATCCTATTTTCCAAAAGTACCCATACAAATAATTTTTTTCATGTTTAAACTGGTATCAACTCACAAGAGAATGAGGCCGAACAAAGCTCCAATGAAAACTACAGCTGCCAGCATCGGGGGGAAGACTGCCGAGATGGTGATGATGGTGAAGGTGACCAGCAGAGTAAACTGCAAGAAAGGGTCCATGTGGAGGGGAAGGACCGTGTCCACCTCCTCTTGATCTTTGGAGAAGCGGTTGAGAATGCGTCCTGCTGGCGTCGTGTCAAAGAAACTCATGGGACTGGAGAAAATCTGAGAAAGGAAAACAAAAAAAAACCTCATCTTAAAAGGTATATTTATAGGGAGTAGTTAATTTGAGGGTGATGAGGGGGGGGTGGCATTCCCTTTGTTCATAAAATGACCAAAATGCATGCCCCTCGTTAACCTCCCATCCCTCCTCTCCATCCCCTAGTAGCAGAGTGAGGGCGGGGCCAGAGGGGTTGTTTAATTGAATATGTTAGTCTCGTCTGTCTCATTAATTGATGTGACTGAGGTTTTGTGCAAGTCAGGGAAAGAATCCGTGGCGCCGACCATGGCTATCAAATATATATCCATCATAAAGACGTAGACGCATTTATAATTGTGACTTTTTCTCTTGGTCCCTCCCTTCTGTCTGTAATACCTTGTCCTTAGGTTATATTTTCCTTTATTTTGACATTTCATTATTTCCTGTTCTATTTTGTGTCACTCACCTCTCCTCTCGTTTCAGATGCTTCACTTCCTGCCCTTGTGTGTTTTGCCTGATTACCTGACGGATCTCCTGTGTTCTGAACCTTTTTCTGAGAAGTAAAGATGTTTCTTTCTGCATCTTATCCTGCTCTCTGGATCGTGCATTTGAGTCCTTACCCTGTGGTTCCATCAGTCGTAACAGTAAACTATATGGAAAATTCTTAACAGATTTTTTAAACGATCGTATATTAAATTCAGTAAACATGGTTATGTTTGATGGTATGGCTGGGGGTCAGCCATCCAACAGTACCTTCTTGAACATGGAGTTGTGGAGGTTGGTGGCCGCATTCAAGGTCACCCAAGTGTAGGAGAAGCATTTGATAACGGCAAGTGTCACCATGACGACCACCATCACGCCATAAATAAGTTGGTAGAAGCCCAGGTGAGGGTTTTGTGAGACGTCTCCTTGGTTTGAGGTTGTGTTATTGGATGACTTAAAAAAAACAGAAAATATATGATGTTAGTGGAAACCAGGTCCAGAGACACAATTTATCAATGCAACATATTTTTTAGAATATTTTTCATACTATTGTGAATACAATCGTCAACAATTGGTGCAGATATGTGGAAATAAAATATTTCATTACATATTTAGCACAGTT